TTATTTTTTTGCTATAGAAATGAAAAAGTCCAAGAATTTTGAAAATAAAGTGTTTTTCTCATAAAATTTTGCAAATAAATAATCTTTCTTCATAAATCTTGGCCAAAATGTATTCAGCTATCTTTTAGTAAAAAAAAAAATAGCCCAAATTAGTTTATAACCAAAAATTATAATTTTTTAAATTTTTTTTACATTTTTACTTTTTTTAATATTATTATTTATGGTTTTTTTTAACATACTGTCACCCTAGCAGTACAGTGTCACCATAGTGACACTGTACTACTTGTGGGGGGGTGATAAAGATTTTTTTTTCTTTTTTTACACTGATTGCTTTTGCAGCCATAAAGGCTGTAAAACCAATCAATTCTTCTTCTCTCTGGCTGCATTCTTGCAGCCATTGAGAAATACTGTGTGAGCTGTGATTGGTCACCAGGGGCAGACTGACAACTCATGGGGCCCTTGGGCAATAGGGGATCATGGGGCCCCTGTGTCCTTGCCAAACTCAAAGCCAAAAAGCCTATGAAAAAGGTACCAGGGCATCTCATGGGGCCCCCTACTGACCCAGGGCCCTCGGGCAGTGCCCGAGTTTCCAAATGGTCAGTCCGCCCCTGTTGGTCACAGCTTGTCACATGGTACAAGGCTGTTGTCGATAGCCATGTACCATGTGACCTCTGTGATCATTCATAGATTTCTCTAGTAGTAAGCAATGATGTCAGAAGAGACATCTTGCTCACTACTGTTCATGTGATCACTGATTGGCCAATCAGTGATCACATGAATCGGGACCTCACACAGAGGTCCCATACAGCAATCAGTGTTTCACTGTGTCCAGAGGACACAGTGGGCACCGATTGCGGTGCCGCGTGCTCCCAGGGAGCGCGCATGGGCAATGGATGCGGGGGGTTGTTTAGAAAAATCCACCCGCATTGGCAGCGCTCCTGTCCGGCTGTTTATCGACATGGGCTGGACAGGAAGGTTAAAGTATAACTAAAACCTAAAACAAATGTGTATTATATTGCAATTTGATGGCTGCATTTACTTTATTATTTCATGCCATGTTCCCTTTATTTTCACCTGGCAATCCTGCAAAAAACACACTGCTTGTCCCTGGCTGTCTATACAATCCATTGTATCTACGGAGGAAATGATGGTTGTCTTCTAGGTTGGGTTTCAAACCTGATTGCCATTGTATATCTCCTTTATATAGGGAATGATGGGATTAGTTATATACAGAAAACAATTCTGTTTACATGACTAATGCACACGAGATAGGTTCATCCAGACCCCACTACACCACCATTACCCTTCCATACCAATCCCCTTTACTTACTATACTTACAGAAAACACAACACCAATTTTGGAGTAAAATGGCCAGCACGGCCTTTTATTAACAAATCAAGTTTAAACACATCAACCATTCCTTATAACAGAAAACATAAAGAGTTGTCGTTGGTCTTTCAAGGCACCCCCAAAACAATCCGAAATGCACCTGCGGACAACCATATTCCACTAGGCCTCCAGCCGCAACCAACCAGCTCGGAGACAACCATACCGTCCGCAGTGCAGCACCACCACCTTCCAGTTAAACCTCGGTTAACTGGGAATGTTCCCGGGCATCCCATACCACCGATGGGTTACACACCATTTTGTACCTCCAAGATAAGAACCGCCTCCAAAGACCAACCACCGCCCAGGAACCAAAATAACCTCCCCCCCAGGAGGAACACAACATTCACCAACCAGATCCCCCAGCTATCCTTTACCAACTCTAACACAATCATTAACCCTCACACGTCTTCCTTCCCACTCTGGGCCTAGTCATGCCTGCCCTGTGCTAATTCTTTTCTTCTTTTATCGCTGCGGGCATTTCTGAACTTGGCAATGGCACTGCATTTCCAGCAAGATCAATAGATATTTTCTGTACTTGTTGAAAATACTGTTAGCCTGAAAAATGAAATCCAATGCAGCCACCACATGTAAGGACTGCTAAGCTGCAATATATTACATTTTTGTTTTGGGTTTAGTTTAGCTTTATAGCTCAACTGCGGGAAACTTTCAAATGATCCCTTGCATTGGGGCTATACTAACACTGCAAGTTAATTGCTCATTTAGGTCTAGGTGACACAGAAAAGAAGATTTACTTTCCAAATCCTCTGCTTCTTTGTGCTGCTAGACCAGCCCCTGCAGCATCTTCTCCACCCGCGCATCAACAGTCCAAGGTACACCCATCATCAAGGCCAAAGTCCATAGCTCTGCCCTGGATGTGAGCACATGGAGGAACAGTCCACTGCTACAGAGGGAGCACTTTCCCAGGGGTTGGGCTTTAAAATGGTTCTAAAGGTTGATGGTTTTTTATGTTCATGCATTTAATACATAAAAATAGAAAAACCTTCAGTGTGCAGTTCCTTCAAACCCCCCCAATACTTACCCAAGCCTGATCCTGATCCTGATCCTGCATGTGCAAGAGAGCGGCTGCAATCGTGAGTCCCTGCCTCCTTATTGACTGTCAATCACAGCCAGTGAGGAGGGAGCCCCGTTCTGTGTATGTTGTGGATACGCAAGGCTCAGGAGCAAGCAGGCATGAGTGTCCCCAGAACAAGCAGCTTGCTATGGAGACACGCGGAGCAGAGGAGGAGCCAGGAGTGCTGGAGGGAGACCCGAGAAAAGCAGGATCAGAACTACTCTGTGCAAAACCATTGAACAGAGCAGGTAACTATAACATGTTTGTTATTTTTAAGAAAAATTTAACCTTTAGCCCTCACGCACACTTGACGTTTTTACAGCGGCTGTTTTTGGTTTTTGACATTTTTTTTCTATAGCTAGTAAACCCCCAGCATGATATGTGTCCATGCACCCATAGACTGTAATCAAAGTTTTTTAGCTGGAAAAAAAACCCACTTTCTAGTGGGTTTCCATAGGAGTTTTTTAGCTGTAAAAATTCTATAATGCTGAAAACCGTGGCAAAATGCAGTAAAACGCCGCAAACCGGTGTTTTTGGACTTTTTTGACCAAAACAAATGCTAAAAAATGCAAACGCAGGAAAATGCTGCTAAACGCTAATGCAAAAACTCTAACAAAATGGAAAAACTCATGTTTTTAACATGACTTTACACAGCTAACATTATCAGCGTTACCAGCGTAAGAAAACCATATGTGATGAGAGCGCATGCCGTGCGCGCTCCCAGCACACATGTCCGGTACTCACGGAAAGGTCCCGATCTCTTGTTGCAATCGGGACCTTTCCCGATTATGTGACCACCGTGACAGTGAATCACGGTGGTCACGTGACCCTAAAACCCCGCCCTGCCTCCCGTCTTCTGAAACCCTTAAAGGGCCGGGAAGCGCCAGGGCCAAGGGGTTAAGTTGGAATTCCAAATGACAGATATATAAACATACATAACCTCTTTTTTCCCAAGTTATAATTCTGTTCAGCAAGTCTTGTGATTCACACATTATACAGAATAGACAGACATGCACAATCACACACACATATATTGCCAAAAGTATTGGGCCAGCCCTCCAAATCATTGGATTCAGGTGTTCCAATCACCTCCATGGCCACAGGTGTATAAAATCAAGCCCCTAGGCATGCAGACTGCTTCTACAAACATTTGTGAAAGAATGGGTCGTTCTCAGGATCTCAGTGAATTCAAGCATGGTACCATGATAAGTTGTCACCTGTGCAATAAGCCCATCCGTGACATTTCCTTGCTAATAAATATTCCACGGTCAACTGTTAGTGGTAATATAACAAAGTGGAAGCAACTGGGAACAACAGCAACTCAGCCATGAAGTGGTAGGCCATGTAAAATGACAGAGCGGGGTCAGCGCATGCTGAAGCGTACAGTGCACAGAAATCACCAACTGTCTGTAGAGTCAATAGCTAAAGACCTCCAAACATCGTGTGACCTTCAGATTAGCACAACAACAGTGCATAGAGAGCTTCATAGAATGGGTTTCCATGGCCGAGCAGCTGCATCCAAGCCTTACATCACCAAGTGCAATGCAAAGCATTGGATGCAATGGCTTAAAGCACGCCACCACTGGACTCTAGAGCAGTGGAGACGTGTTCTCCGGAGTGATGAATCACGCTTCTCTGTCTGGCAATCCGATGGACATGTCTGGGTTTGGTTGTTGCCAGGAGAGCAGTACTTGCCTGACTGCATTGTGCCAAGTGTAAAGTTTGGTGGAGGAGGGATTATGGTGTGGGGTTGTTTTTCAGGGGTTGGGCTTGGCCCCTTAGTTCCAGTGAAGGGAAGTCTTGAGGCATCAGCATACCAAGACATTTTGGACAATTTCATACTCCCAACTTTGTGGGAACAGTTTGGGGATGGCCCCTTCCTGTTCCAACATGGCTGCGCACCAGTGCACAAAGCAAGGGCCATAAAGACATGGATGAGCGAGTTTTTGGTGGAGGAACTTGACTGGCCTGCACAGAGTCCTGACCTCAACCTGATAGAACACCTTTGGGGTGAATTAGAGTTGAGACTGTGAGCCAGGCCACCTCCCCCGACAACAGTGCCTGACCTCACAAATGTGCTTCTGGGAGAATGGTCAAACATTCCCATAAACACACTCCAAAACCTTGTGGACGACCTTCCCAGAAGAGTTGAAGGTATTATAGCTGCAAAGGACAGGCCAACTCAATATTGAACCCTACAGACTAAGACCTGGATGCCAATAAAGTTCATGTGCGTGGAAAGGCAAGTGTCCCAATACTTTTGGCAATATAGTGTATCTCCATACGCACATACATAAATAGTGGGGTTTTCCTTTACCTAGTTGCTGACCGCAGATAGCCAAATGACGGCTACACTGCGTCACATGACGTCCTCCCAGAACGCTCTCTCCTGCGCCCCCCCGGGGGTGCGCCCCTGGCTATCTCTATGATCGCTGTGTCCTACGGACACAGCTGATTACGTGATGTGGTAAAAGGACAATCGCAGCGGCCTTTTACCACGTGATCAGCCGTGTCAAATGACATGCTGATCACCGGGAAATGCAAATGCTGGTTCCCGGCTGCACTTTCCTTACGCTGTCAGATCGTGAGGAAAGTACTGCCGAGAACCGGCAGTTGTCAGAGCAGGGATCGGCACCGATCATCAGGGCACTGATGATCAGTGCCCTGATGATCGGTGCCCAGCAGTGCCACCCACACCAGTTCCGCCCATCTGTGCCCATCATTTCCACCCACAAGTGCCCAGCGGTGCCACCCACCTGTGCCTAGCAGTGCTGCCCACAAGTGCCCAGCAGTGCCACCCACCTGTGCCGCCCACAAGTGTCCAGCAGTGCTACCCACCTGTGTGCAGCAGTGCCTAGTAGTGCCACACAACTGTGCCCAGCAGTGCCATCCATCTGTGCCACACACCTGTGCCCAGCAGTGCCACCCACCTGTGCCCAACAGTGCCACCCATCTGTGCCTACCAGTGCCACCCACCAGTGCCCATCAGTGCAGCCCAGCAGTGCTGCCAGTCAGTGCCACCAGTCAGTGCCCAGCGGTTGTGCCAGTCAGTGCCCAGCAGTTGCACCAGTCAGTGCCTAGCAGTGCCGCCAGTCAGTGCCGCCAGTCAGTGCCGTATATCAGTACCCATCATCAGTGCCGCCTATCAGTGCCTCCTATCCGTGCCACTTCATTAGTGCTGCCTATCAGTGCCGCCTATGAGTGCCCATCAGTGCTGCCTCATCAACACACATCAGTAAAGAAGAAAAATTACCTGTTTGCAACATTTTATAATAGAAAAAAAGAAACTTTTTTTTTTTCAAATTGTTTGCAATTTTTTTGTTTATAGCGCAAAAGTAAAACACCCAGCGGCGATTAAATACCACCAAAAGACGGCTCTATTTGTGAGAAAAAAATTATAAAAATTTCATATAAGTACAATCTTGCATGACCGCACAATTGTCAATCAAAGTGCGACAGTGCTGAAAGCTGAAATTGGCCTGGTAAAGAAGGGGGTAGAAGTGCCCGGTAGGCAAGTGGTTAAATAAGATATAAATCAGAATAATGCTAACTAAAGCAACAAACATTAGAAACGTATCTTCTTGGTGTAAACCATTAATCATAGCGTCATCAGAATCAGCGAGTGTGTAATATGTGCATATTCATCAGCTTATTTACATGGCATTACCAATTTATTTAGCAGCTTGCATTTTTAAGCAATACCTTAAGGAAACCTGTCAAGAGAGAAAAATGAAGGCTGCGTTACTGACCTCTCCTTCTAAGAATACTGATCGCCTGCTTGTCATGCAGGTGCTTTGTCTTTTTTACTTTGATCCAATAACCAGGAACATAGACACAGACTGGAAAGATCATAAAGCGCATCTACAACACTCTTTAGAATTGTGCGAGTGTAGGCAGGAGCAGTAAGCTAGTCTGCCATTAGATGGCTCTGTCCCAAAATAGTGTGTGATAACAGTGAATAATGCAATTGGGTGTTAGGTCCCTTTTAGACAAAGGCTTTCTGTAGTGATGTAAGGGGTGGGGTCAATGCCCAGAGGTTACAGCATATTATTCCTGCTCACTGATTGGTTGCTAGAGGTTATAGCACACACTATGGCTCACTGATTGGTTGCTAGAGGTTACTGCACATCATTACTGCACACTGATTAGTTGCTAGAGGTTACAGCACATCATTATGGCTCTGCACCCCAAACCTTCCCCCATCTAACTCTACATGCCTGCTCTGCTCATCTATCTCATAACCCACCTTTCTTACCTATGTACTTCCCCCCCTTGCTCACCTGTGCACCCCGAATTGTAACTCCTTCTCTGCCTACCTCTGCACACTCCACCAACACCACTTTGGTTACCTTTGCAGAACAGGCTGATGGTAGGCCCAGTGACCACAGCTGATGCCAGGACTTTCAAGCATTCCCTTGTATACCTCCTCAGTGGGGAGCATTCAGATGAGGTGATGGTGGATGGAATCTCAGTGTGGCAAAATATACATATGAATGCCACTGCTATTTACAGATCAATGCTGGTTACTTACATGTGAATACTGACATATCTGGGTCATCTGTACACTGCAAACCAATGTAAACCAGGACTATTGACAAATATGGGGCAGCTGCTTTGGGCTGCACAAAAATGACTTTTGCCTTGCCTTAAAAACAGCCCTGTATACCAGGTTAAGAGAAGCCTAATGCACGTGAAGGAATCGAGAACAGCAAGGAGGGGAGGAGCCTGAACATGGCGGCGCCGGAGAGCATGCGATAGGAGCTCTCCGACGGGACTCCTCCGTCCAGACCCTCCCCAGCTACCCCGTACGGAAAAGAGGCATGAGCGGCCGAAGAGGTACCTGGAGAGTGGGGTAATTGACGGCAGAGTGGATCCCTGGTGCGGAGACAGAGAGGAGCTGTTGTTGCGGGCTAGGTCTACCCGGCAGCCCGGACAGCGGCAAGTGAGAGAGCCGGGAAGCCGGGTTGCCGAGGTGACAGGAGGACGGTGGGACCATGTGACCAGCCGCAAAGGAGTGTTGGGAAAGGAGAAAGCCGGCAGGCGTCTCACAAGAGGCAGGGAGAGACAAGGCGGCTTCTCCGAGTACCCCCCTTGCTGAGCCTGCACCGAAGGGGGGAAAGGAAAAAATAACTGCTGATCCAGGAACCAAAAATACCCCAAGAGGAGAAGAAATAAGAGGGGGAAAAGTAAAAGGAAAGGACCCTGTGGAATCCCCAAGCAATTTAAGTGGAACTACAGACAGCAAGCTGGAGCCAGACCGAGGAGAAGGAGGGGAGCTGGGTGAGTGGAAGCTGCTGAAAACTGAAAAATTGTCTCCTTCGTATTTACTTGTTGCATGTGACACAACAAAATAGAAAACAAAAGAGAAGAGAAAGGAGGGGATTCCCAGGGTATCTGGAAAGAGAGACTAACTTAGTACTTAAAGCAGGAAAACTAGAGGACAAACTAACAGGCAAAAAGGGGACCCTATTATAGAAGTATACTATTTAATAGCATATGGAATAAAAGAATCCTATAGAAGACATGAAGAATAAGAGCATTAAAGGAAGTGGTCTTAAAGGATCCCAATCAGGAACAATTAAAAAATATACATCGCAGGGAAATATAACCCCAGAAAGACCACAAAGTATAAACGGGAAAAGAGAAGGGGATACCAGTCTGGAAAAAAGCCCTAGATTATCATTGGGCTTGGATGTCACTAACCAGCAGATATCAGAAATAGTGGATGGGAGAGAAATGGAAAGTGACCTACAAGCACCAAATAAAAAAGAGATGGCAGAAATGTTTGAGGCCTTAGAAAAGATAATAAAGAATGAAATGGCAACTATACGGAAGGATCTGGGGCAGGTGCTGACAAGAGTGGAGGAAATGGAAGGAAAAGTAAAACATCAGGCCCAGAATATATCTCAATTGGAGGAAAAAGTAAAAAATATGGAGAAAACGCAAATAAAGCTGCTGTATAAAAATTGGAAGTACAAGAAAATAGGGACAGGAAGAACAACCTAAGGCTGAGAGGAATCCCAGAGACTATAGAAGGGGAAATATTACAAAAAGAAATATGTAAAATTTTAAATTCCATATTGAATAGAGCTGCGTCAGAGGTGATTAAAACAGATGGTGTTTGGAGAAAAGGAAAGTTTCAAAGTGGCGGGAAGGAAAATCCAAGAGATGTTATAGTCCAATTACATAGATATGGAGATAGAGAAGAGATCTGGAGGAAGATTAAAGGAAAAAAAAAAAACAATTAAATATGGAGAAATGGATATTCAGATCTTTGCAGACCTTGGACAGAAACTTTGTGGAGAAAAAGAACTTTGAAACCACTGACAGAGCAGATGAGAAAAAAGAAGGTCCTCTATAGATGGGGAACCCCAATTTGTCTGATTGGGTGGAAAAAAGGGGATAACAGCCTACCTGAGATTCCCAGAAGATATGAGAGACTTTTGTGAAAAACTTGAGTTGCAGAGGATGGAGATCCTTGGATGGGAAGAAGAAAATAAAGGAGGAGAAGCAAGACAAAAGGAATGGCAGACTGTGAGAGAGGGAGAAAGTAGAATTAATTACTGTCCAAATAGAGATTTTCCTGAGATTTTCCCTAGAGGTGAAACCGCGGATTGTTAAAAGTAAAGAAAGAAATGAGATTACGGACGGGAACAGCTGGGGAGGAGGGGGAAGGAGGAGGAGCTGTCCATGGACAGAGTTCAAACCCCAAAAATAATCAACAGTGGTTCTTAGAACCACAAATGATTAGTAGGTACATTAGATGCCTAGTGGTGGGGAGGGAGGGGTGGAGGGAAGGGGGGGAGGGAGGAGATGGGAGTTGGGTGGGAGGGAGGGAGGGGAGGGAGGGGAGGAGGGGGTCAATACTCTGCATGACAGAAGAGATAAAGAGGAAGAGGCAATCTGGAAGAGAGATGGAGTTAATTGGGAATGATGGAAGAAATACAGTTTATAACCTATAATGTGAACGGGTTGAGTTGTCCAGGGAAGAGATTTAGGTTGTTTAATGAGTTACATCATAGGGCTACGTCAGTGGTATTTTTACAGGAGACGCATTTTGAGATAGAGGTAAATGTGAAATTGAAATCCAAACACTACCCAACATGGTACTATGCAGATTCTCCAATTAAAAGAGCAAAAGGGGTTGCAATAGGTTTTGCAAAGAATATGAGATTTGAGCTGGAGGATAGAAGAACCGACCCTGAGGGGAGGTTTTTATTCTTAAAAGGTAGACTCCAGGGGATTGAGTGTACTTTAGCCAATATATACTGCCCTAATAAAAAAAACCCGGAGATGTATATGAAGGGTCTGCTGAAAAAATTAATGGAATTTAAAACAGGGCGCCTGATAGTAGCTGGAGACCTAAATTTCTGTATGGACCCACAAAAGGATAATACCTCTTCTGTGCAAAGAGAGGGGAGTAGGTCTCTGAGAGCTCTGAAAAAAGTGATGCATGAATATCAACTAGTGGACACTTGGAGAATAAAGCATATGAAAGACAGAGACTATACCTTCTTCTCTAATGCACATGAGATATACTCGAGATTAGATTACATCTTAATAGACCATCAACTTATAGATCATCTGGTTAAAATTGACATAGAGACAAGGACGTTCTCGGACCATGCCCCGGTTGTAATGAAAATGGGATGGGGAAGAAGGTGGACGGAGGAATGGGGTGGAGGTTAAACGAGGGTCTTCTTCTGGATGAGGATGTAGTTCAGAAAATTGAGAAAGAGATTAAGGTATACTTTAAGGAGAACGAAACAGAGGAAGTATCATAGCTACAGTCTGGGAAAGCCATAAGGTATTCATAAGAGGAATCTTGATTGCGGCAGGAGCAAGGAAGAAAAAGGAAAGAAGAGAGAGGGTCAGTGGGCTCTTAAAAGAAATATTGGACTTGGAGCAGATCCATAAGAAGAAAATAACAAAAGATACGAGACAGAGGTTATCGGATAAAAAAGATGAGCTAGAGAGGTTGATGG